CGCAGGACACTGGCTGGACCGCGGACGCTCGCGAATCGGCGAAAATTCTCTCTCGCTGCCCGCAACGAGAAACGCGGTGCAAAGTCTGTACGATCTCGTCTGTATGATCGCGCGTTGGATTTCGTTCTGAACGAACCATCGAGATAACTCTAAGATAAATCAGCGCACAGAGCAGTTTCTGAATCTTTAATCAGACGCGGCTTAATTTGCACGTTCGCCGAAATCGTCGGGGATCAGCGTAGCCAGCCGTGCGAAAATATTTTTGGCACGGGCCGTCTGGAGTGCCAACGGTAATCCATCCGCTCAGCCTCGTCTCGTCTCATCTCGTTTCGTCTCGTCTCATCCCGTCTCGTCCCGTCTCGTAAGGTCTCGTCGAAGACGAGAACGAGACGATCGCGTCGGGTGTTCCCGTCGACGACCCTTGAGTCGATCGCAGCGGCGTGATTTATCATTATGAAAAAGAAATCGTGATAAGCAGATTTAGATATTACAGGACATCATTTTACGCACAACAGATTTTGTATCTATATTTATTCCGCGAACGTTTAAATCCAAATTGGATGCTTTGAATTCACGTGACGTTCACGTGTCGTGTCCGATAAGTCGGCCGGTTTGCGCACGAATTATACGCCGGGTCGCCGCGATATCGGTAACAAAATATTATTTATATCGCGTTTGGGTGATTTTATCCGGACGCGAGCGCTCGCCTCCGTGCGCGCGCGTGCGCGCGCGCGCGCGCGAGGAAACGGGGGTTATTTATGAAGCTGTCTCGGCCACTCGAAGAACCGGTCACGACGCGACCACAGTAGCCGTTACACACCTCCGTTTGCGCGGAAACTTTGATAGCGATTTACGAGCGGCACGTGCTGCCGGCGACGTACCGACAACCAACGTCCAGAGCCGAAGAAAATCTACGTTTAAAGTTCGGCCTGTTATTGGAAGATTATGCGGTGTTCTTTGGCCGCGCCAGAACCGCGCAGTCCGCGAGGAGGAATGGACTCAGATGCGCGGCAGTCGATGCCGCTCTGATTTCACTGAGTTTAATTTCGGACAGAGGTGCTGCCATTCGAGATATTATAAACGCTTCAAAGCTTCGGTGTAATACGACGTTTAATGTCGAACTTTAAGATCTCCAGTAATTCGACATGGAAACTTTGAATCTTCGATTTTTATTGTATGTATCTTGGAGTCTCGAACACTGCCCTTTCATCTTGAGATATTTAATGCGTTTTAATAATTTAATTTCCCCACCGTGTGTTTAAAGTGTAACTTATGATCCTAATCTTGAACTCACGGACACGCAATGGTGACTGATTATTTTTATTCTCAATTGAATAACAACCGATTATTTTTATTTCTGGACAAACGGAAACTTTGATCCAAAGTGCGCCGCAATTATAATATACCGCTTTCGATCGTTATTTGGAAAGACGAGCGCAGGAGACGAGCGCGAGAGAGGGAGAGAAAGACGCGACAAATATGAACGTTCTTTTATGCCCGGGATTGCTATATTTATCGCTATCACGATTTATACAGCGATGATGGGAGAAAAGAACATCGCGTACGTCAGTTAAGCCGGCGTGCGAGCCGGCTAGTGTCACGAGGCAAAAATGTGCGCATTTCAGGCGCGACAGACACGAGTAAATAAACGGCGCAACTGACGTTGTCAAAGACGAGAGATTTCCGTCGTCGCGTGTTAACAGCTAATGGTCCTGCACGAGGCAAGTCTGATACAAGAAGATCCAATCGATTTTGCTTCAAGTTCAAATCAATTATGAATTATTTGTTGCTTTAATTTGGAAATATCCTCACACCTCACTGAGGTGAGATCATATGGCCGTATTCATAGTCAGGCCTTATGTTTAAGGCTTCCTTAAGTTTATCTTCAGATGGTCTCTAGCCAATAAAATAATCCGTGCAGATCTAAAGATGGATATAAGGAGGCCTAAAATACGTATAAGGCCTGATTATGAATACGGGCATTAGTCTTTGCTGATTCTCACTGATAACTGATTGTGCACACTACACGAGACGAGACAACGAGAGAGAGAGAGACAACGCGTTGAAACGCTCCACTATCCGCGCCATCCGCGGATTATCCGAGGAGCTCGTTGACGGAGTCACACAATCGGCGTTTCTTTTTCGGAATTCTTCCGAAACGAGAGGTACGACCGTGTTGCTCGGTTAGGAATCTGCGTAAACATTCACGTAGCCGCGCCGTCACGATGCTCGGAAGCTCGAAAAGCTCGTGGCGAGAGGTTGGAGGAGCCTCGGAAAGAGAGGAGAATAACACCGGCGGCAGAAGTGGCGGCGCGGAGCTCTTGAAACATTTACGGCTATTCCTGGCGTCTGGCTTGAGGCAGATGGCCCGCTCGGTATTAGCGAACGCTACCAAGAGGAATCGATTCTCGGTTTAAGGATCGATCGGATCCGTCCGCGGAGCAACTCGGAACAAACGCGAAGGACACGCGCACTGTATTCGAATGGATATTCAACCGACGGTTGTTCAGTTTGGCCAATACGAGTCACGAAGTGACGGTTCTCACTGTCGGAGCATCCTTGCGCTTGCTTTAATCGGCCGAAGTTAATTCCCGCTTGCTGAAACCTGTCGCAACCTCTCAGCATCTGACTCTACCGTGCGCAGTTTTCGCGAAGATCTCGCGCGATGTAAAATTCTACCGGAAATAGCGCGCGCGCACGGAAAGCGGCGCGCTTACTTGACAAAGTTCAGATGATTTCGATGACTCACGATTCACCAATTGACATCGGTACGCCGGGAGCCGGTCCCGGGGAAGAAGTACCTACATGCCCGCCCCGAATTTCCTGCATCAACGCGCAGCCACCCCGAGAATGCCACGTGCCTCGCATCTGTGCCGTGTCCCGAAAAAGAGCGAGCTGAGACGCCTCGCCCACGACGAGCGACAATAAACTCGATCGATTTCCGTCGAGAGCCTCTCGCCCGGGATACAACGGGTCGTTTGTGCGCGAGGATGTTTAAAGATCCACGGAAAGAAGGCAAGTCTCTTTGCGTTGTTCGCGAGAGAAAGAGGGGTGAGAGAACGAATGCTGGATTGAATGAAATCTCTCCTCTCAGTCACTTCCATCTATGCCACCGTTACTCGGGTAGTATAATAGATTCGCGAACGCGTTGAGACGCTCGCATCGACGTGTGAATATTTGGACGGACCATGTACTGTCAATCAAGGCAAAGGGGGGGGGGGCGTGGGGGGAGTGTACCAAATCACGCAAATACCCGTTGAAAACGCTACTTTGTAGAATTAACAACACCGTGGAAAAGTAACGCGTCCGTCGTCGTCGTGGAACCGCGCTTGTCGCGCCGAGGCCGGAGGAGAGCCTCGATGTCTGCCGTGGAATTCGTGCGCGACGTTGTCGCCGACGAAGATGAAGACGCGCTTCGTAGTACTATTAGCGGTCGTAATCACGGGGCGATTCAGCGGGGGAAAGCGGTGACGGGGGTCCGCGAGGGATGGCGTCTAAATTTAGCGCGACGCATTCTGGGAGCGACGGCGGGCAGCGCGACGGAGAGGCGGGTAAAAAGACTCCAGATGGAACGTCGGAAGGGACAGTGTCGCGATTCACTTCTGGCCGGCTTCCAAATGGCGATACTCCGAGGTTCGGCCTCATGAATGAGCCGTACGGAAAATGAGTTTCCTTGATCAAAACTAGCGCGAATATCGCGCGCACGGTAGGCTAGACCCGACGACTGACCGCGACCGAAGGGGCCGACAGACGGACGGTTAAGTCGTCGTTTGAGTCCAAGCTTCGCTCTTCCTCCTCCTCTTCCTCCTCCTTTTCCTCCTTCTCCTCCTCTTCATTTTCTTCTTCTTCTTCTTCTACTTCTTCTTCTTCTTCTTCCTCTTCTTTTTCTTCTGCTTCTTCTTCTTCTTCTTCGTCTTCTACTTCATCTTCTTCTTCTTCTTCTTCTTCTTCTTCTTCTTCTTCTGCTTCGTTTTGCTCAGTTAAACAACATCCCTCAGCGCGACTTCCGCGAGTTCGCAGTGGCGATTATTATAGATCGTCGCGTCGACGGCGCGAATCGATATAGAGTGATGACGGGAAGCCAGCTCTTCCAACTCAATAAATTCTGATTCAATGTTCGTCGCACGTGTTTCACGAGACCAAATTAAAATCACTTAATTCCTTCGTCTGTGACACCAATTCGCTCTTCGCTCAGAGGATCCTATGAATTTCGCTGGGAGTCGTCACGTTTTACAAGAGAATATGAGCACCGTTACTTTTTAGGCAGACAGGGATTCATCGCGTAACGCAGACGATAATCGATTCATCGTCATCGGATCGGCGCAAAGCTGCAATTTCAGCGAGGCAAATTGCAAGTCTCGCAGAAGTGCTGGCCAAGGAAAGGCGGGGATATAACGCCTAGCGAGAAAAATCCGCCGTCATCTTTGCCTTGTCATTATGTTCTCGATCTCCGACGTACGGTGTATCTTAAGGGAAATAAAAATATTTCAATTGATCCATCCACGTCGTTTTTATGCAGAGTACTTTTGAAACTATTCTATAATAATTTACTTATTCGTGCGCTCGTGCGCTGCGCGAGTCCGAATTGCCCGTGGCAAAATTCTTCAATTTTGAAAAAGAACCGAACTCCCTCAATCTTTTGTGATGAAATGTTTTAATCTTCCGAATTTAAATTTAAATCTTTTTAACTAAAAATTTTAAGAATTAAGAAATCAAAAAATTGCGAAATTTTAATATTTTCTTACCGAAGTCATGTTTCAAACACATTTATATCTGTTTGGAACCCTTTTATTAAAATGGCACTAAATTTCCAATATAAATGACTGTGCTCAAAGGATTAACGTCGCGCAATCGTATACACGGTCGAACATGTATTCCGACTGCGTGTCCCTCGCTTCATTCGCCGTATTCGAGCGAAAATATCATCAGTGTGACTGATGTGAGACACGACTCTACTGCCGTGCGACGCATAATGAGACGCATCGTGTCTCGTGTTACAGAAACGACGATTAATCCCGACATCGTGGTGACCCCGGGCGACAAGCTCAACCTACGCTGTTTGCCGAATCCCGACGACGAGACGACGTGGTACAAGGACGATGAGGAGTTGCGACGTTTCTCCGCGAGGATGCGGGTGACAAAGCACATGTTGAAGTTCAAATACGTCGATGCAGCAGACGCGGGTGTCTACGCTTGCAGGCTAAAGTCGCCCGAGAAAATCGAGTGGCGGAACATTACTGTTCGCATAGAGTCGCCGCAGAACGACAGCTTCCAGGATGGCGACGATGAAGAGACGAGCGTCGCCATGGACACGCTCAGGCCGGAAGAAGAGACTAACGATCTGGAGATTGAAACCAGAAGTAAGTTCTATGAATGATTCACTCAGATTTCATCTGAAATCATTATACCGTGTATCATTATTATCACATTGAGAGAATTTTCACTCTTCTTGACAGGGTTATAACAAATATTCGCTTTCGCATCATTTCAGGCTCTCTTAGCTTTTGCTTTCGCTATCGCAACTAATTATGCGAAAGTTTTAGCGAAAGATTTTGTCCAGCCCGCGGGATTCGCAGCTTTCCTGAGGAAAACATACTGGATGATGGGGGAGTGCAGTTTATGTTTTATTCATTGATTTGCCGGTCTAGAGACACTTTAGACTTTAGAGTTTGAACGTTTATTGAAAACAAATGAGTGCAAGTAAACTTTTGTGTGATATAAATTATAATAATTAAATAACTAGGTGTGATAAGTGATAAGTGATAACAATAACAATGAAATCAAAATCCAGTTTTATTTGCTATTTTTATGACGAAGTGGGAATGGAATTTAAGATGTCATAGTATAAAACGTCTTTAAGAGGACTTAAAGACGTCTTAAAGACGTTTTATGTCCCGATTTTGGACATTGTGTTGTCTGGGAAGTTACTAATTTACTCATTTCCAGCCATCATTCAGTAGAAAGAAACAAGATCTTTCGCTTTCGCTTTCGCATTCGTATTCGCTTTCGTTATAATCACTTTCGTTACAACCCTACTTATTGAGTGATATTTCATTCGAAACAATCCGTAAAGAGTAAATCTTTGGAAACCCTGTGATCGTTAATTCCCCTTGAAATTCTCATTTAATTGAGATTCGAAGAAGAAGGAGAAGAAAAGGAAGAAAAGGAAGAAAAAGAAGAAGGATAAGCGAACAGATTCTCCTTATTCCGCGATACGGAAATCAAACGCCGGTCTCTTCAAGAAATCTCTCGCCGTAAATTCGTGTACTCCCGCCGTTGCTACCACTACCGCGCTTAAGCGGCAATTAATTACTCTCCTTGCGCTTCCGCAGACTTACCCGAGACGCGGTCATTGCGGCTGGAGAGCGACAAGATCAATGCGGAGCTGGACAACGAGAAGGCTGAGAACGACACGGTGGGCGAGCAGAACAACACGGTGCCGGAGAGCCCGCCCGCGTTCAACAAGAGCGACGAGATGCACGCCTCGGTGGTGAAGCCCGCCGGCAACATGTTGCGATTGAGATGTCCGAGCGTCGGCAATCCTAAGCCGAATATCACCTGGCTGAAGAACAACGAGGAGCCGCGCCGGGACCTTGGCACCGTCATAAGAACCAAATGGACCCTGAGGTTGGAGGATCTCGTGCCGAAAGACAGTGGAAATTACACGTGCATCGTGTGCAATTATCTGGGATGCATCAAGCATACGTTCAAAGTCGAAATAATGGGTGAGTGGATATACATATATCTATTCGTACTTATGTACACTCGTATTTGCGAAACGCTTTAAATACGCTGCTTCTGATGAAGTTAGAAGCGCATCAGGTCTGATAGGAACCAACGTGGCAATAAGACATTCGACGTTGCAGTTGCAACGGAGGGTTCAAGAAAAATCCCAGTAATTATCTTTGGTTGCATTTGAGTCGCATGCGAAATATAATTAATTTACTTAATATTTAGAATTTTTTTGTTTCTTCTTGCTGAAACCATTTTCCAGATGTAACTTTTGAAATATTATTTACACTTATTCGCGATATCGCTCAATATTAAAATAACATTCAATTCCCAATACGACAGTACAACAAAGGACCGATATCTACATCGCGAACTGTCACTCCGGTTCCTGTCACGATCGATTACTGTATCAAGCCCATCACAAATGTGACTTCCTACTCGCGGAGCGAATCTCGGGCAAATCGTGCCGTTCTCGCGACGAAAGAAACCCGCGAAGGGAAAACCATAAAATCAGTCGTTGCAAGACCATCGCGTTACGCGAATATGCGGACTCGTGTCACGAAGCGAACAAAACGAAGCAACTGACTCGCAACACCGTAGAACGTTTCCCGCATAAGCCGTACATCAACGAGGACTTCCCGAAGAACGTGACCGCTCTAGTCAACAGTACGGCGATCTTCAGGTGTCCCATTGTTTCCGACCTCGAACCCTTCATAGAGTGGAAGAAGCTTTACGAGTACCCGCGTGACGAGGAGCACCGGCCCGAAG